CTGAATTTTCGCTTGAGGATGAAACAGAGCTTGTTACTTTAAGTCAATTTAATTTTAATAATTATATTGATGGTTTCGGCTCTCTTTTTTGAAACATGAGAACACTTATATAGCGAAGGAATCATATTTTTAAAAAATAATTATATATATATATATATATATATATATATATATATATATATATATATATATTCATTACAATATTTTGTTGAAATGGTAAAGGAAACTAACGTACACTAAAATTTGTAAAAGGAAGGAATTAAGATTTTCTAAATCGAAGAAACTGTAGGATTGCCCCACGTCTGCCAAAGAACTTCTGCTAACAACTGGTAGATGGCGTTGCCAAAAGCAGTATTTAAAAGAAAAAAGGCGTAATGTGTCATTTTCTCTTTATGTTTTAGCTACAGGATAACTATCATTTTCCCCCTGGAGAATATTTTGGTCTCCAGTGAACAACATGACGCACTGAATACAATACCACATTCAGTGTATTTCACTATACGCAGGCATACCTGATTACTCTACCAGACAAAAAAAATGCTCTCAAATGTAAGCCTCGCAACATCTTTAACAGAGCTTTGCGCACACTTACGTACGAAAAAGAACATCACTATATATATATATATATATATAGTTGTATAATTAGGCAGTAATCCTTCGTTTATGCACGTTTCATTAAAGTCGACAGAAGGAACTACGGTTAAGCTTTTTATTTAATTTTTCTTGTGTTCGAACAAGAACTTTCTTTTCTGGACAAAGAGTATGTAAAAACTGTCCAAATGTTTTATAGTTCCGAGCGCTTTCGTTTATGTTTATGTAATTTTTGACTGTGTGTTCATTATCGTTATTACTTATTTTGGGGAGAAATAGTCTAATTTGGTGGTCTATAAGTTGGTTAGGGAAGTCGTTGTTGATTAGTGTTTGTTTTACATTATTAAGTTATTTGAGGAAGAGTAGTCGAGAGGATGAATTCTGGTATGCTCTTTTTAGGAAGTTTTTTTTATTACTGCTGTTTTGTGCCTGAGTGGGCATTCGCTTTTAAAGTTAAGGTGGTAAGAGTTTTAGCTAGTAGATTTTTATATAATGAAGTGATAAAAGTGTTATTGTTATATTCTATGAGAACATCTAAGAATGGGAGTTTGTTTTTTAAGGACGGAGCTTTTCTCAAATATGGTCTTAAGTGTATCTATTTCTTTAATGTTATTTGCTAAAATAAAAATATCATCTACGGAGCGGACATATATTTTTAGGTTTACAGTATTTATCGTGTTTTCTAAATGGGACATGTATTAGTTGGAAAAGCATGGATCGTGTGGATTTCCTATACTAACACCATTAATTTGGGCGTAAGTGTTGCTATTATGGTCACAAAATGGAACTTTGGTTGTGCATGCGTGTAGTAATTTTTTTTATAGATGGTTTGATGGATGGCGGAGGGATAGAATACACAGAATTGAGGATAATAATGTAAAACAAACATTAATCAACAACGGCTTCCCTAACCACCTTACAGACCACCAAATTAGACTATTTCTCCCCAAAGTAAGTAATAACGATAGCGAACACACTTAAAAATTCCATAAACATTTATTACAAAAACCAAATGCACATTAACTACAAACAAAGACGATTCTTCAACAAGACATATTATAAAGAAATACACTACCCCAATTGACCCGAATAAAAAAAACAAATTATCTATTATAAAAAGTTTAAGACAGCTAACCTTATCCTCAAAAATAACAACACACCAGTTAAATCAAAATTACAAAGAATGAACATTATCTATGAGTTCAAATGCTCCTTATGGAACTGTGTTCCTGATCAAACCGGACTCATAAATAATTACATCGGTAACACAACTACATGCTTATCCAGACGTCTTATGTTACACCTATCTGATCACAGCTCCATTAGAAGCCATTTAAACATACACACAAACTTACCAGACTCCATTAGAAACATACTAGCAGAAAACAAAAATATAACTTCATCCACCTGTAAAAAAGATTAAAAATAATGGAAGCTTTAATAAAAAAAAAAAGAAAAAGCCAACTCTTAACAATATTAACTACGAACACAGATTGACACCAAAAACACTCTGAAATGTTCGTATTGGTTCTTCCGTCGCGAATGCCAAGCAGTACAGCATACCGTTTCCAAATTTCCGGGCAGAGTGAATTGCGTCATGATGCTCTTTTTCTCATAGATGGTGCCCAACAGACCCTACTATACTGTGCAGTCGACAGAATCGAATACAAACAACCCACATGCGTAAAATAAAAAATATAAAATGGCGACAATTTATCCATCACACCATGTTAAGTATTTTTTCCTACAATTTCGCAAATTCAATATTTAACCTTCTTTTAACGATAATGCATTTTTATTCAATATTTATCTTATTTTAAGAATGAAAATATTCAAGAATTGCAACTTATGCTATTATCATTATAGACTACATTAAAAAGTGCATTTGACATGTAATTTTTTAACTAACAATCATTTTTGATACTTAACCCTATCTACATCAGAGACTATCTGTACAAAGAGATACTGAAATATTTGGGGTCTGAACAAGAAGGGAATCCCCATGAAAATTTTAATATTTTGCCATATTTTGGCAAGTTGGTGGTACTGAAATTCTTCTTTCATGATGTGGCTGATCATGGGTCTTCACAACTTCCTATCCTTTGTAGCTCTTAGCCATACTTGTTACTATCCCTCCCACTTTCTGTTCTGCTCTCCATTTACACAAGCTCACTGTTTCCCTCTGCCCTTCTTACCTTCAATATTTCCTGTGAGTGTCAAATTTTCCATGCCTCCTGTCTGCATTATGTGCCCAGTAAATTTTAGAGTCCGCCAAAAAAATGTATACACACTTCAAGAAAGGAAAAACGTGTATAGATATTGTAAAACTAAATTTATTCAGACATCACGAGATTAATACAAATTACCTTTGGACTCCACAATCATAAGAGATGCTCAAAATGATGTCCTTTACTTACCAGACATTTATTAGTACGGTGAACTGCTGCTTATCCACTGGGGTTGCTGCACGTGCATTTTCAATTTCTTGTCTAAGCACCGCCAATATCGTCGGTTTTCTAACGATACACATTTTAGGACTTGTGGATGCTACAGCCATAGGGGTAGGGCCATCTGTCGAGTAAATACTGATTTTTTTCCTTTCTTGAAGTGTATATACGTTTTTTGATGTATAACATAACACAGTAGCAGTTGGAAAAAATACAACGTAAGATAAATGAGGTATAATAAATAAAATCGTCAGGTCAGGTTCGATCTTTCTCCTATGTCGCTCGAGGTTTACCTCATAAATATTGAGGACTCGTAATATTTTTGTTTTGTCTTTTGTTGGTCTGAGTATTAGTGACATCAAGGTTCCATATTAGCTATTAAATGTATTTTTGCATGCAAACATTTCGGCTTAAACTCGTATTAACTGGCTTATGAGACACAATTAGGGGGACTTATAATCTTTATCAGTCTCGCTTAAAATACAGAATGCACCTTCCTCCTTCGAACTCGATTATTGCTTGAAGATATTGTCTAGAGAAGATAAGCAGAAGCACATTAAAGAAATGTGAAAATCAAATCTCAAATATGCCTGCTAAATCGAGGAATTTTTTTTTTTTTTTTTTGATGGTGGGGGTGACGCCCGGGGGTGCTAATCAGCTGAAAGAAAGTTCTAAATAATCATTGCCTTCATTTTGCGAATGTTGCGCTGCTCTACGCTTGTTCTTGTTTTGTTTATTTTTAATTTTTTTTGCTTCTTTTAATTTCCGCGCAGTAAATGAGTGACTGCGGGACAAATCGAAAGTCGAGTACGTAGAAATTTTTAAGTCGTAAACACACGGCGTCGACTGAACGCTAAAGTAAAAGTCATGCGCCATGGCGATTAATTAGTTTCCTTCTGACATGTACCGTCAAAGACGATAGTCGAAATCAAGACCCGAAACGTGCGCCTGAATTTGAATCAAACTTGCTGATGTGTCTTCTCATTAATTATACGGGCTTATTTTCCTACATTTATAAGACATTATGACGCTTAGACTTCATTATAAGGATCATCGTCACCTGAAGCATCATGTTAACAAATTAGTAATAATATTAAGATCATCATTAAATTTCCTATATGTATTATTGTTGTTGTATTGATGGCAAACTCAGAAGGAAAACTAAACGAGCTCTCAATCATCATCATCATGTCTAATGACCGGGTGTGATCGTAGGGTTGCTGCGCAGCTGAGCCCTCTGACCAATTCCTACCACATATCTCGATTGAAAATCAATACGTGCGTAGCGTGTCTTTGGAAAGTAGATTTGGCGGAGTCTATATCTCGCCATGTCAAGCCACTGCTGATGCCCTCCAACTTGAAAATTCGCCTTGGTCATGGCTGTCGATTTCATCGGAGTAACCTCCAGTTTAGGAAACAAACGTTGTCGTGTCATCATTGCACTGGCTACATACATAGAGCCCAGTCTACCCAACCGTGCGAGAAGACAGCTGACACTAAAAGAAGGTTAATCCGCCCTTTTAATCCTGCCGGGTTTCTAGCTACCCTCCTCAACAAGAAAACCTGATGGGGGAACCGGTTTGGTTACCAATAAACAGAACATTCAGCAGGTAGAGCTGGGCAGTAAAGTTAGCAAACGAAATTAAAATAAATGACTATTAACTATAAGAAGTTGTCAGCAACAGGGACAGGCCAGGGTATCAGTTACATACTAGGGACGTCAAAATCAATCAAATAAGAAAAAATAACTATCTGGGTAGTGTGGTAACAGACGACAGAAAATGTGAAAACTCCAGGTGAAGAAGTTTAGCGAAAAGTGTCTTCCTGAAACTAAGCAAAGTATTAAAAGATAAAAATATATTGTTAGAAAAGTAAAAAGAATGTTGAACTGCTAAGTAATATCTAATTTCCTATATGACAGTGAATGCTGAAGAATCTCCTCGCAGATAAAGAAGAGGCTTACGGACATATTATGTTAAAACGCCGGTTCTTGTAAGATCACTGAAGTTAAGCAAGCTCGAGCCTGGTCAGTGCCTAGATGGGCGACCACTTGGGAATATCAGGTGCTGTTAGCTTGCGGGTGATGTAATGAAAATGGCTCGGAATTGTTAATCAAAGAGCCGAATTCTAATTTCTGTTGCCTTCGTTATATTCACTTATGCGCAAATACACTTGGGAAAGGCATGAATCCACCTCTTCTCCAGCTATGGGGGAGAAAACTTCTATCACTAAACCATTATTATCTAAAAAAAAACTAAATAAATTTTACAATCTAAAAATATTTTCTGGCTTTAAATAACCTGCAATGGGTTGATAAGCCGTAGAAAACGAATCAATCAATCAATAAAAATAGATGACGAAGAGGCTTGAAGTGGCAGAGATGTGGTTCAACCAACGAATGATGAGAATACTATGGCAAGAGCATGTGAGCAAAAAGGAAGTCTTAAGAAAAAATAAAAGCGAAAAGGAAAATTACAATTACAATCCAAAGGAAATAGCTGAAATTCCTTGGAAACATAATGAGGAAAAAGGGCCTGGCGAATTTAACACTCACATGCTATAATGAAAAGCATTCGTGAATAGCGAGTAACCTACTTAACAAGTATGTGTGAATAGGTTGCATAACAAATACGGACACTGAAAGGTCAAAAGTTACTTAGACCAAAAAATTCAGGAAGTTATTGATAGCCATGATTGGAAGGGCAACGGCACATGAAGAAACATTTTTATTATTATTAAAAGACTGGAGTACGAGTGCCCTTTCTTTTCCCATGTTTTATTGGAAGTGAAAACGCAATTTTTCTCAGGGACATCTGTGTCCAAGAAAAGCAAAGCGAATGTATTATGTATTACAATGTTGCACTTAGAGAGTTTTCTTTTTTAATCATTTCACCCCAAGCAAGATTACTGGGTGTTAGAAATTATGAGAAAAATATCCTATTAAGGAGAGAGAGAGAGAGAGAGAGAGAGAGCAATAAAAGAACAAGGATTAAGTAGACAGAAGATGACTATTGACATTGCATTTAAATTTTTGAAGATCATAGTTGACTGGGAAGCAAGAAACTGGAAGAGAGTTCCACAAGCGAGAAGTGCGATAGAAGAAACTGTTAGCATAGAACTTACGGTTACATCTAGCCATTTCAACTAAATTACGTACACTTCTTTGGGTTGGCTTTTCTTTGTCGTTTTGTGATCAAAGAAACAATATACATTTGTCTACTACAGTGACTTTTCCTAAAATCTACACTGACCGTAACTCCTGTCTGGCTGAGAGACATCATAAACCCAGACAAGAGAAATCCTAATAGATATTATATCAGAAAACGGTAAAGGAAATACTATTATCTCCGATAGGAAGTAAGCTAGGCTCATTGGGAATTAATTTTGCTTAATGGCGTAATTCTACCCCACCAGGCGACTGGTCAAACGTTGGAATTGAAAACAGGGACTGACTGGTTTTTTTTTGCCAATTACTGCGAATGCTTGGAAGAAACTTCTGAATACACCTTCTACCACCGTAGCAGAGTCCTCCCGTTTTGGGATTCCATTAGCATTTCTACCTGGACTGAGATGAAATGAATGGCGTTTCTCACGCTGCAAGTCGTGATGAGAATGGCGGTATAGAACACGCGTTTGAAGAGGCCCCACGAAAAGGAATCTTTTTGTCAATAATATTTGATTTGTTACTTTAATGTTTAAAGTAACAAATCAAATCTTTTTCTATCCTATTTAAATATCTCTAAATATCCTATTTAAATATCTCTTAATATCTAATTTTCTCTTTAAGCTAATGTTTAAATTCTAAACATTAACTTTGAGAAAATTAGATAAGATAGAAAAGATTAGATACCATGGATTTTGGAGAATGATGGATAAAAGTCGCGAGTTTGGTGTTTGAAAACTACTAGGTTAGAGTTTTTGTTCTATATGATTCTAGAAGATGAAGTTCCACCCAGAACCCACGCCAGATTATGCTACAAGACTTAGTACAATGGGCCCAGCATCCAACTCCGACTTTTGAGGTTTTCGCAGACACGCAACCATTTTTTTTTCTCTACACCCACTTCTTAAGTAGGGTTGTCTGCCTTTATCATTATATTCAACCCGTTTTCAATTGGTTTGTCCATACCCTCTCCTGTTTTTAGAGGAAGTCCTTGCTTGTCTCTAGCAAACAAGCGGAGTAGATAAACGCAAAAGAAGGGTTTAGCGCATAGCCCTTCAGAAAACAACAAGTCCTTCTGTCCCGAGATAGGCGGGAAAGGAAGGTTCCGTACTAAATCTTCATTTTCTTTTCTTTTTACTTTATTTGGGGCTCTCCCCCGCCCCCATTAAAAATGATTAAAATTTTATATAATTTCATGGGAACATAGCTTAGTTTCATAGAATGCAGGCGGTATTATGGAGACTGGGAAAGAATGTCAGTGACAGATGAAGTCTTTTGTGTTAGAAACCGTGCTGTGTCATGAAAGGGCTTAGCTAAAAATAAAATAGTCAACAAAGGCGCAGCCTCTTCTCCAGACGTCTCATTTGCCATAGGGTCTACAACACACACACACACACACATATATATATATATATATATATATATATATATGTGTGTGTGTGTGTGTGTGTGTGGATTTAATTTTCGGATGAACAGAGAACCGGTGCATGTTGTGCCACGAAATCTCCAAGCAACCTCGAGGTTTCAAATTCAGAGTTGACCTTCTCATATACTGGTTTCTAGACAAGGCTAAAGATCCTAGTCTACCCTGTTATTTAACTCATAGCAGGGGTGGATGTCAAGATGGATTTCTCGTTCAGAGTCGCTAACTATTGATCCACCTTCACATCCTCTTGATAGATATTGATATAGATAGAAATGAAAAGAAAGAAAGAAAGAAAGAAAGAAAGAAAGAAAGGGAGGTAGACAGACTAAAAACTATAAACTATGAGATTTCATATTAACTGGGCGTTTACAGATATTCATCAATATTCAGAAGAACTAAAAATGTCAATGCCTTTATCAGATGCGACACTATACATCAGCCGATGACTATCGATTTTATATATATGTTTTTTTTTTATGTTTCTTTTCGTTCAAATTTGGAGTGTTAATAAAATCGTATTCTTCTTGCCAGGAGGAATCGCACGCGCCAAGAAGAAAAAAAGAAAGAAGACATAAAGTGTAACAGAACAATGTCAGAAATTATTTACTATGTGTGAACTGAATTGTGTGCTATTTCTGTCAATCACATCAGTTTCTAAATCATTTTCATTTTTGGTCACACTGAGATCACTGTCATCAGATTGTCAATCATTTCTGTCTGCAAACTCTTCAGGGGAAAAAAAGGCATACTTGAATATTTTGCCATTAAATAGCGGTATACATCTCAGTGTTTGAATGAAAGAAAGAAAAGGAGAGAGCGTCTGTGTATTTGTTCTTATAATGTATACTGTAAGATTCTATTTTGCAAGTCAATCTTTTCACAATGAAATTTGTATTAACTAACCTTCTTCTATGTACTGTGACTATGCAAATCATGATTCTCTATAACTTCCTGTCTTTTGCAGACCTGGGAAATTTGGCTTTATTTTTCCCATATCTCCTAATCCTTGTTATGCCATCCATTTGCACAAGTTCGTTAGGCAGGTCATGCATTGTTTTCCTCTGTCCCTCCTGACTTCAACATGACCGGTGAGTATTAAATTTTCCAAGCCCTCTTTCATCATTATGTGCCTTAGAAATTTCAACTGTCTTTTTCTGAGGCTAAGTATGTGTCCTTTTTGTTGCGATTTTCTCGAAAACTTCCTCATTGCACACATGTTCAGTCCATGATATCTTCAGCATTTTTCTGTAGAAGCACATTTCTGTTGGTTTGAGCCTATTCCTTATCTTTGAGATTAACCGGCATTCACTGTCATAAAGTAGGACTGATAATACATAATAGTTTAGTACTCTTTTATTTGTTTCTAACGAAATTTTCTTGTTTCATAATACTTTGCTTAATTTTTAGAAGGCACCTTTCGCTATCCCAATACGCATCCAGATTTCGGTGTCGCCTTTTCCGTCCACTGTTAAAACACTTCCCAGACGTTAAATTGCTGTATTTGCTTGATTTTAGTAGGTCTAATTTGTAATCTACATGATGGGCTCTTTCTTTTGCTGGCAACTAAGCATTCTGTCTTTTTGCAATAGATGTTTAGTCCTTTCTTCTCGATTTCTTTCACTGCCTTCTGTAGGAGTACGTGTAGTTTCTTTTCTGTGTCTTCTGTCATCTACATATCTCATGTTGTTAAGAATGTGTACGCCAATAGTAAATCTTTTTTTAATCATCCCAAGCAAGGCGATAATGCCACTAAGACGCAAGGCGTCAGTGGGGTGAAAGAAAATTAGATTTTTAGAAGAAACCGGAACCCCAAACATAAACAGGTAGCAAGGGATAAACCACTACTCCTGTTCATAAAAATGAGAAAAAGTGTGAATCGAGCAATAAGTCCGGAGAGACGACTGATCCGTGTCTTACACCCTCTTTCTTTTTTTCTGTATGTTTCTTTACGTACGCAAGCGGTTTGCTCCCAGTATAAATTCTGGATTATTCTAATGTCCTTCACAAATAAATCAAGCTTTAAGTAAATCTAATTTAATGCTTCATTACTAAGCATAAAAAATGAAATCCGTTTACTCCATTGTTATTATATTTCTTGCTCCCATTCTTATCATTGCTGTAAAAAAATGTAACAAGAATTGTAGGCTTCTTTACAAGAGCCGTTTAAGCGTCGCTACTGCAAACAAATGCGATCTTTTTGTAATGTTAACAATGAAAGGACATGGTAAAATCGTTAACATTCCAGTTTAAAGTCCTGCAGTTGTGATCATTGTCAGCTGCCACAAACGAGCAGTAAAGTAAGAAATAGTTGTTCCCACTGTTGTGTTATATACGGAATCGTTTCTTCTCGAGACGCGACCATAAACATGAACACAGAACTAGCAAAGGCGAGTATGAAACGAGAAGTGGTCAGTCATACACACGTCTCCCTCACACACGCGCATGCGCACGAACACACGCAGAAGCATGCATGCACACACACA